CCTTGGAGCATTGAGGAAGAGATTAATATTCTCCATCGGTTTACGGCAGGTGTGTGTGTGTGTGTGTGTGTGTGTGTGTGTGTGTTATTGTATTTTATGTGTGTACTAATTTATGTGCAAAACCATATACTGTGTACTAGACTATGTACTCTGTTTTAATCTAATGTATTAACTAATGTACTAGACCATAATTCTAATTGAAGTACTTTCTCATGTACTAAAACCATGTACTTTCCTTTGGACTAAAACCATATACTCTCTCATGTACTCAAACTATATACTCTTTCATGTACTCAGACCATATACTCTCTCATGTACTCAAACCATGTACTCTTTCATGTACTCAGACCATATACTCTCTCATGTACTCAAACCATGTACTCTTTCATGTACTACAGACGCTGGTGTTGTACCCCATCCCGAGCATCGTGACGTGTACCTTGCGGGTGTGGCTGAGGGAGATTGGCTTCTCCCTGTCGTACGGCGCCCTCATGCTGAAGACTTGGAGGTGAGTCAGTCTATGGGAGGGAGAGGAGGAGGGTGTTTTGGGGGGAGTGGATGTTGGAGAGTGTATTTTGGAGGGGAAAAGAAGGAGGTGGAGGGTGTTTTGTAGGGAAAAGGAAGGAGGAGGAGGGTGATTTGCATAGAGGAGTATTTTGGAGGGAGGAGGAGGGGGTATTTTGAGGGGAAATGAAGGAGGAGGAGGATGGTTCTTCTTAGAAGCGAAAAGGTGGGGGGTCTCTGTGTTGTGTGGGAGGAGGTAGGGAGAGGGTTTTTTCGCGGGAAGAGGAGGGTGGGGGAGTGGTCTTTGGAGTGATGGAAAGCGAGGGGAGAGGGGGGAGCTGATTTTTTTTGGGGGGGGGAAACGCCGGGTAGCCTCACATATACGCCGGGTAGCTTCACGTATACGGCGGGTAGCTTTAAATATACGCTGGGTAGCTTCAAATATACGGCAGGGAGCTTCAAATATACGCTGGGTAGCTTCAAATATACGGCGGGTAGCTTCAAATATACGCTGGGTAGCTTCAAATATACGGCGGGTAGCTTCAAATATACGCTGGGTAGCTTCAAATGTAGGTTGGACAGATATATGAGCGATAGGGGTTGGGTGTAAACAGGGCTGCCTAGTATTGGTCAATAAGCCCGCTGCAGTTTCCCCCATTCTTATGTTCATATGTTTTTATTAGACAGAGAAAGAGAGATAATAATAGACAGTGAAAGAGAGCTAGAGGGAGAAAGAGAGACAGAGAGAGCTCAAGAGGTAACAGGATAACAGAATCAGCAGACAGAGCACACCCACTACACAACACAGCCACAACAACGTTCCCCCTGATCGACTCACGACTTCCACAGAACTCCAGTCTCGAACCCCAGCTCGATCTTCGTTTCTATTGTTGGTCTTTATTTTCCTTTCTTTTTTTTACGGGGATCAGCCCACCCAGGCACAGGTCACTGACCCACATCAGGGCCTGGGGGGGGAATAATAATAATAGTAATAATAGTAATAATAATAATAATAATAATAATAATAATAATAATAATAATAATAATAATAATAATAATAATAATAATAAATACAGAATGAAAAAGATAAATCAACAGTGAGAAACGATATAGTGTATGTATGTGTTGCTGTCAATAGTAAGAGAAACAATTGAGACCCTGCAATTGTGTGTAAATGAGGCAGAAAGTCAGACCAGCAACTTGGGACTTGGTCACAATTTTCGTGATGCTTCCAATATCTTCCTAGGCGGTAGTACCTCCCTGTTTGATAGCTGCCTATCTACCTGTACTGTAGTTAGGTATGTAAACAAACCACAACGACCTATTAAACCATCAACACCCCCCCCCCCCCCCTCTATGTTCTCCCATTTCCCTGAGAGCTTTATACTGTATAGTTCAATGGAGGAGGTGATTCATTACGGAGCTTCGAGCTATTGATTCGAACCGTCTCCTCGCTTCGCCTCCCACCTTACCTGGGCTAGTTCGTTACTGATGGCCAGAAGCAATTAGACACTGGTGATTAGTGTCCATAAATGCCCCCAATTAGACAGTAGCCCCTCCCTACTCCCCCCCCCCTTCCTTCTCTCCCCTCTTCCTCCTCCTCCTCCCTCCCCTCACCTAGCCCCAGCCAGGAGCAGTTTGTGGTCTTCGAGTTGGTCGTTGAGGTTCTGGGGCCCAAAACGAAGATCCGAATTAATTGTCTTTGGAATCTCGTGGATTTGTGGGATTTTTGTGTAAATAGTTTATTGTTCCTTATTCTATTTCCTCATTATTTATTGTTATGTCTTCTTCTTCTTCTTCGTCGTCGTCTTCTCTTATTCTTAATAGTGACTCAGTTACTTTAAGTTAATGTAGTCACCGCTGGAAACTGCCTCATGTCATCGTTTTCTTTAATACACCGAAATACCCATTGTGTTATGATTCCGCGGACCGTAACCATGGCAACACTTGAGTTAATCTTAGTGCGATATATACAAACGTATTTGACCCTTCTTTATTTACTTTTCATATTTACATTATCATTTACAATATGTATTTATATTCTTGTTTACATTCAGTACTGACATATTTACATTCCGTATTCAAATTGAGAGTTGACAATGTTATTTACAATTAAAGTATTTACATAATTATTTACATTTTATTTACATTTAGATTTTTACGTTTTGTATTTCCATTTTTACATTTTTTTCAGGCGTATTGAACAAGTGAGTGTCAAAGGAAGAGTCCAGTGGCCCTCTAATGGAGTACACATGACCCTAACCTGACCTTTGACCTGACCTTTAACCTGACTCCTGACCTGACCTCTGACCTTCGTTGTGTGAATGTTATGTGTTGATTGACTCTAATATTTGTATCCTGCCATGAGTGTGTGTGTGTGTGTGTGTGTGTGCGCGCGCGCGTGTGTGTGCGTGCGTGTGTGTGTGTGTGTGTGTGTGTGTGTGTGTGTGTGGGTGTTGCGTGACAGGCTTAGGCAACGATGGATTACCTCTCTCTCTCTCCACCACACACAAACAAACACATACACTCGCCCTCCTCCACCACACTCAAACAAACACATACACTCGCCCTCCTCCACCACACACAAACAAACACACAATCAATGAACTAGATCCTTCGTTTCCTACGCTATTGTAAAAATATAATCCTGGGTAAATATGATTCATTTCTGACTGTCTTGGACTGTCTGGCACTGTCTAGCGCTGGCATTGTGTGGGACTGTCTGGTACTGTCTGGCACTGTCTAGCTCTGTTACTGCATGGCACTGTCTAGCTCTGCCTCTGTCTGGCACTGTTTGGCTCTGTGTGGCACGCTGGCACTGTCTAGCTCTGGTACTTTCTCGCACTCTCTGGCTAGGAGTCACTTACGTTACCCATCACCTCGAACTAAAACTCAGAACACAAGAAAGGTATATAATCAAAAGGTCTCGTAAGTCATAGGAGCGAAAATACATTAGTAGGGTCATGGAAGACTCGACCTTACACAGTGAGGACCCAGATGACCTGACAACACGAAGATTAAGTTACGGGAAGTGTCCGTTGATTGGCTGCAGGACTCGGTGGGGGGGTGGGTGAGGGAGAGGGAGATGGATGGTCAAGAAGAGAGAGAGAGAAAAGGAGAGAAGTGGAAGGAAGAGAGGAGAGAGAGAGAGGGGGGGAGGAGGGGTAGGAGGAGAGGGAGGTACTGGGGATGAAGAGGGAGGTACTGGGGGAGAGAGGGAGGGACTGGGGAGAGAGAGGGAGGGACTGGGGAGAGAGGGAGGAGAGGGAGGTGCTGGGGAGGGAGGAAGGGAGGAGAGGGAGGGACTGGGGGGAGGGAGAGAGGGACTGGGGAGGGAGAGGAGGACTGGGGGAGGAAGAGGGAGGAGGGACTGGGGGAGGAGAGGGGAGGACTGGGAGACGGAGGGGAGATACTGGGGAAGGAGGAACAAGGAGGAGGAAACAAAGGGAGAAGAGGGAGGGAGAAGGTGAGAGAAAGGGGGGGGGAGGGAGACAGGTCTTCTGCTTCATCGCCTCTAACAAGACAATTTCTGGAGGGGATTTGTTTGTTTGGTTGTTGATATTGTTGTTGTTTGTTGTTGTTTTGTTTAATTTTTGGGGAGTTTGTTTGTTTGTTTATTATCCGAGTGTTTGTTGTCGTCATCCATTCAGGTGATTGTTTGTGTGTTGGTCTGAATACGCTCACACACAAACACACACACACACGCACACACACACACACACACACACAGAGGAGAGACGTATGTTGTTGTTTTTCTTGTGTCACTTTTTCGTACCATTTGGAATGATAATAATACATCTATTACTTGAGCTGCTCAGGCGGGGAGAAGAAAGGGTGGGAAGGAGGGAGAAAGGAGAGAGAGAGTAGAGAGTTAGGTCAAAGGGAGAGAGAGATCTGTAGAAATGTTGTATTAAAGGGTTGTGTTCAGTGTAATGTGTGGTGCTGTATTGTGTGTGTGTGTGTGTGTGTGTGTGTGTGTGTGTGTGTGTGTGCCCCACCCTGAAAGTTAGATAGAGTGCTGAGAGACATTGGGTAGATGGAAGACAGAGAAAATGAAAAAAGAGGGAGAGAAAAGAAAGGAAGGGTAATGAAAGAGAAGGCTATGGAAGATAAGAGAGAGAGAGAGAGAGAGAGAGAGAGAGAGAGAGAGAGACCCCAAGAAACAATATCGTCCCAATATCACCACACTATTGCTCACATTGCCCTCACACTTGACATATTATATTCTCCCAGCAATATACCCAAGACACCCTCACTAAGAAAGAATATATTTCCCGAGTCTTCTGTTCCTCTACACATATAATATTGACTAAGGAATTTCTGTGGTAATATCAAGGGAATGTATTTGATCTAGTGTTTCATTCTTGATATTATTTTAGTATTTTTTTTAAAGTATTATAAGTATTTTTTAATTCAATAAACAAAATATTTTCAAGGTAATACTCTAACGAAATTAACAGGGGATATTTGATATGTTAAATAATTATATATACTTTCTGAAGACTGAGAAACGACAAGACAGTTTTCAAATTTTGTTTTTTAAGGATGTCCGGTTAAGGAAGTCCCGGATAATTGAAACTTAATTGTGTTTTTTTACGGTTATGAGTAGTGGGGATCACGTGAAGGTCTGATTAGGCTAAGTTAGTGTTAGATTAGGTTAAGGTAGTGTTAGATTAGGTTGAAATAGTGTTAGGTTAGGTTAAGGTAGTGTTAGGTTAGGCTAAGTTAGGTTAACGTTAAGTTAGATTATGTTGAGCTAGGTAAGGTTCGCATTAGTTTAGGTTAAGTTAGGTTAGGATAGGTTAAGTTAGCATTCGGTTTGGTTAGGTCAGGTCAGCATTAGGTTAGGTTAAGTTAGTTTTAAGTTAGGTTAGGTTAGGGGCTGTACCGTAACTAGATAAATTCACTTAGCCTCCAGTTAAGGTTAGGTTAGGTTAGGAACTCGACCTTAATTAGATAAATTCACTTAGCCGCCAGTAAGCGGTAAAATTAGCACAAAAAATGTACATGAATACGAGCCCCCGGGCATTAATAAATTTGTCCACGTCCCCACCAGCAGGAACCCAAATATTAATGATCTCAAAAATATGTATTATTAAAAGAATTATATATGAATCGTTTATTACATTGTAAGATATATAATTCCTAATAATAAAATATATACAGGGTGTTCAAAAAGTTTATGTGCACTTGTGATATAATTAATGATGTAGTTATGGACTATATTGGTACTTTAAATTGCGTAGGAAATGCTCTAGTGCTGATTATTTTAGGTGCATAGGAACTTTTTGATCAGTTTGTATAATATAAAATAATATAGAATACAATAAGTTAAACATAGTGCCCTAGGTACAGATAGTGTTAATATATAAAGGGCTATATGTGGTAATATTGTGGTGTATTATCTAACTATACTTCACGCCATCACCACCTCCATACACCTTCATCTGATTACCGTGACTAAAAAAAAATATTATTACTTCCACAAAATAAAATAACTTCGTAGCGACAAATTGGCAGCTTAACTCTTTCACTCTCATGAATAAATCTGTCTTTTTTTTCTTCTTTTTTTTATTGAAAGACAGAAATCATTCATAATGTGACAGGTAGCTCGTGGTGAATTATGTCATTTGTGCATTAACATAAAAGAATCACATTGTTGAATGGAATTAAAACAAAAACAAAAAACAGTGGAGACTTAAGTGTTGACTTTTGTGTAAAATATCACCGACATTGTGTGATATTATTGGATCACTTAATGATTAGGCACCCCAGATTAGGTACTCCTGATGACCTGTCATTAACAAACACTCAAAATACCCTAATAAAATAACTACTCATATCAAGCACTCAAAATAATCATTCAAAATACACTAAAAACACAAGCACTCAAAAATAAACACTCATAAACTAGCACTCAGAAACAATCCTCGAAATAAAGCACTCAAAAATTCTCACGTATTAACAAACACTCAAGCACTGGGCCAGCTGGGATAGTAACCTTGTCAATTTTAAGCTCCAACACACACACACACACACACACAAAGGGTCCACACATATACAAACACATCACATACACAAATAAACAAAACACAAATGAAAGATATTCATGTAGATTCATCAAAACAAATAGACTCGAACCTCCCATAAGGAGATCTGAATTCTAGATATTCGAGATAAAGTGATTCACTGATACGAATTCAAAGTCGAAACAAAAGATGATTGAAATCGAGCGAAGTGCAAAAAGTAAATCTGAGGTTTTTAGGTTCGTTTCAGCTAATATATTGCTTCAGAACCACTTAAACCCACGAGAGAGAAAAAATAACTAAGACAGTAATGCTTCAGAAGTCGAATATTGTGTCAAAAATGGTTCAAAACAGAGAGAAAGAAAGAGAGAGAGAGAGAGAGAGAGAGATGAAGACGAGGAAGGGGAAGGAGAAGGGAAAGGGAAAAGAACTTTCGGCGGTAATGCTTCATGAGGATTCGGTCTTGGAGGCGTGAGTGATACATATTAATGAAGCTGGAACCCGACCCCCAACTCGCTAAGTATCGAACCGTGTCTCGAAGATGAGAAGTATATAAAAAGAGACCGAATGGATTTACTTTGGGCTTGAAAATTTATCGAAAACTAGTTGATATGTTTCAGTGTCTGTTCGAAAGTTAGTCGAAATTGTTCACTGAGTCGAATAATTGGTTAAATGATTCACTGGCTGTTCAAAATTTAGTAGAAAATATGTCAAAATAGTTCACTAGCTGTTCGAAACTGAGTCGAAAATGTTCACATAGTCGAATAATTATCAAAGTAGTTCATAGAGAGAGAGAGAGAGAGAGAGAGAGAGAGAGAGAGAGAGAGAGAGAGAGAGGTAGGGACATTAAAAATTAGATAAATAAAGGAATAGAGACAGACGAACAGACACACACACACACACACACACACACACACACACACACACACACACACACACACACACACAAAATTATCCCGTGGAATTCATGCAGTGATATTTTGTCCCGTGGAATTTTGTCTGGTGGGATTTGGGCTGATAAAATTTTGTCCAGGAGAGTTTTGTCGAATTGAATTCTGTCCAGTTGGATTTTGCTCAATTGAAAGTTTGTCCAGTGGTATTTCGTCATTAAAATTTTGTCCAGTGGAATTTCGTCCAATGGTATTTCGTCTAGGTGGATCTAGTGGAATAAGGGCGTAAGCCAGACACCACATCACATTGGACACTGTTAAAGAGAGTTTACCGCCACCACCACAAGAGACGACTGACATTATAACCTTTCTAACTCCCCCTGCCTGTGTTACTCCTCTCTCTCACTTTCTCTCTTTTTATCTCACTTTCTTACTTTCTTCTTTTTTCATATTTATTTTAAGGACATGTAAAGTATTCATCTTGATTTGATTTGATTTGTTATAACTCTCTCTCTCTCTCTCTCTCTCTCTCTCTCTCTCTCTCTCTCTCTCTCTCTCTCTCTCTCTCTCTCTCTCTCTCGTATGGTTTTAAGTGATTCGCTAATTTACATTTCGGTAGACAAATATATTGATCGATATTTTGTCTAAATAAATGTGTGTGTGTGTGTGGTTAAATATATGTGAATTTTTTATGCATATATATGTGTGTGTGTGTGTACTCGTGATGTGTGCACCTACTGTACTGTACACACACACACACACACACACACACACACACACACACACACACACACACACACACACACACACACACACATAATTTGCATACCTTTAATCTCACAAATCCAGGACCTGTATAATCGTGTTTGTATATATATAGTGTATAATGGTCATGTTTATTATTATTATTATTATTATTATTATTATTATTATTATTATTATTATTATTATTATTATTATTATTATTATTATTATTATTATGATGATGTTGTTGTTGGTGTTGTTGTATGTTGTTGTTTATCATTATTATTATCATTAACATTATTTTACTTGCAGAATCTCGGTCATCTTCCGGGTCAGGTCAGCCAAGGCGGTCAAGATCACTGATCTTGACCTCATGAAGCGACTGGGCATTATTGTCGGGGTATTTTCAGTCTTCCTGGCCATACGCACTGTAGTGGCCCCACCCCATGTAAGTATAATCTGTGTGTGTGTGTGTGTGTGTGTGTGTGTGTGTGTGTGTGTGTTTTGCTTTAACATATACATAACACGCAACAAATTTAAATCCGCTTCTTAGAATTTAGTTTAGTGTCCCATGAAAAAAGTGAAAATTATATCCATTTTCTCTGAATCATGGGTTTTGTTCCGGTTACATCCTCGTTAAACATCCATTATACGCTGGCTAATTTCCTCGTTGAATTATCCTTAAACGTATAATCCTCTTTGGTTAATCACTAAATAACGTGAAGCTGGTAGTTACTGGTAGTTAATGGTAGTTACGTCAACATAAAACAACGCTCTTCTGTAAAATGTAATCCACATGAAATGTTTACCGAGCCGTTGCCTGATAAAACACACACACACACACACACACACACACACACACACACACACACACACACACACACACACACACACACGGGGGAGGACAACATGTATTTTTGTTTCGTTCAGATTATAACATTGTACCAAAATACCAGTGCATAATTTCCTCCCAGCTGCCAGCTTCACACAACGAGAGGTAAAGTACTTGTAATCTCAAGTGGTAGATGGGATTTTGTCCGCTGGGATTTTGCGATTTTGGGGGATTTGCCAGCTGGGAATTTACATTGGGAATTAGGGGATTTTGTTATCATCTCTCCCAGCAATAGATCGTGTAACAGTGACGGACAGATACCTAGATAGAGAGAACGCAAGAAAGTCATACGGCTAGTAGTAGTAGTAGTAGTAGTAGTAGTAGTAGTAGTAGTAGTAGTAGTAGTAGTAGTAGTATGGCTATTGGGGGAGGTTGGAGGCCATCTCTGTAGTAGTAGTAATAGTAGTGATGTGAATTTCTGTAAAGGAATTAGACGTGAAAACCTACGGACCGCACTTGCCAGGTTTCACATCCCTGACCTAAAAACCGAGAGAGAGAGAGAGAGAGAGAGAGAGAGAGAGAGAGAGAGAGAGTAGGCAGCAGTGTTACCCCTGCCAGGCTCATATCTCTGTGGCAATAGCGTAACGGGAAAAGGAACAACCCTTGAGTACAGTTATTTAACACCTTGAGTACAATTATTTATACCCTTGAGTACAATTATTTATCCCCTTGAGTACATTTATTTAACCCCGTGAGTACACTTATTTATACCCTTGAGTACAATTATTTAACCCTTTGAGTACAGTTATTTAACCCCTTGAGTACATGATGTAGTTATTTCCCTCTTATTTTCCCCAATATTCTATGTATTTTCCTGATTTTCTTATTTCCCGCCAATGTCATTTATTTTCCCCTCGATAGTTCATATATTTTCCTGATTGTCCTGTTAATTTTTTTTCCTTGGTCCACAGGTCATAGTGTCGATGACTGCTCGGTGAAGGCTTTCCTGTGTTCGACTGACTGGTGGGATCACGCCTTTACTGCCTGTAAGTGTGAGATGACATTGTCTTGCCCCAACCTTCCGTCCGTCACTCTCCAACACTCTCCACCACTCCCCCACACTTCAACACTCCCTCACTCTCCAACACGCTCCACCACTCTCCTACGCTCTCCTAGTGAACCTGATCTTGCACACACACACACACACACACACACACACACACACACACACACACACACACACACACCTAGCATGACCTAACATGACCTCACATGACCTCTGCACTAATAACCTCTCACCACATTTGGCCTTGTCTGTGTCATGTAATCAATAACTACTTAATTGCATGACGTGTAAGATCTTTTAGAAACTTTTAAGTACCATTGGCTGATCTCAATTACCCTTAACAGCTCTGAATTAGTCCTAACGAGTGTAAACTGCCTTATTACATTGGAAATCTTACTCATGTGTATTATCATAATATTTAGTCCCTATTGCCTTCATCTATAAGTGTTATTAACTATTTTTGATTGCTGCTAACTACTCCTAACTATCCCAATTACATTTAACTCTCCTTAACTATCCTCAATTAGTGAGAGCTGTTTGTTGCAGTGAAAATACGGTTCCTGGTGAAGTCCATTAGATTGTGAATTACTGTAATTAAGAAACTCTTGGCATCTAACTTCACTTGACCTCCTTAACGAGCGTGAACTACCTTGTTACAGTGGAGATGTTCCTGGTGTGGGGCATACAGCTGTGGTCATCTTAACAACTATACCTTATTATCTGCCTCTAATTACTCCAAACTACCACTGCCCACCTCAACTACCCCTTAACGAGCTTGAACTACCCTGTTACAGTGGAGATGTTGTTCCTGGTGTGGGGCACATGTGCATCATGGTGAGGAAGGCTCCTTCAGAGTTCAATGAATCCAAGTACATTTCTCTCGCCATCTACAACGAGTTCATCCTCTCTCTCTTTCTCAATGTGTCTATGTGAGTATCCGCGGTGATAGATAGATAGATAGATTGATAGATAGATAGATAGATAGATAGATAGATAGATAGATTTAAGTTGATATTTAATTCTTGTATTATTAATTTTTTGCACTTTTTCACCAATTAATTATATCATAAAGGATGATTATTACTTTATTTTATTTATCTTTTCTTACTCTCACTTCACCTTCTTACTCTCATCTCACTCTTCTTACCTCACTCTCATTCTTCTTACTCACTCTCACCCTTCTTACCACCTCTCACTCTTCTTACCTCACTCTTCACTCTCTCCTGACCTCACTCACTCCTCACCTCCCTGACTACCTCCTGACCTCTCCTCACCCCCTGACCACTCTCCTCCTCTCGACTCACTCTCTCCCTGACCTCACTTCTCTCTCCCTGACTCTCCTCCTGATTACCTCCTGATCACCTCACTCACCTCCTGACTCACTCTCCCTGACTCACTCTCCCTGACCCACTTCCTGACCACCTCACCACTCCCTGACTCACTCTCCCTGACTCCACCTCCTCACTCTTCCAGGCTCTTCCTAGTCGCCTGCCAACCCGGATCTGTTATTCATCACCTTCTGCCACATCAGCTGACCATCACTTCCCCACGTCATCATCTTTGCAGCAAGGTGAGTGTACTGGGAGGGGAGAGAAGGGGAGAAGGGGGGGAAGGTGAGTGTGGGGATGGAGGGGAGAAGGGGAGAAGGGGGGAAGGGGTGAGGGGAGAGAAGGGAAAGGAAGAAAGAAGGAAGAGAGAAGTGAGGAGAGGGTGGAGGGGGAGGGAAGGAGGGGGAAGAGAGAAGGAAGGAGGAGGATGAGAGATAGGGAGGGTAGGAGGAGAGGATAGGGATAAGATAGAGGGAGGGATAAGTAGGGGCTAAATTGGGTGAGAGCAAGAGAGAATGAGAGCCAGGGGAGGAAGGGAAAGAGCCAAGGAGGAAGGGAAAGAGCCAGGGAGGGGAGGGAAAGAGCCAGGGAGGAGGGGAAAGAGCCAGGGAGGAGGGGAAAGAGCCAAGGAAGAAGGGAAAGAACCAGGGAGGAGGGGAAAGAGCTAGGGAGGAAGGGAAAGCCAGGGGAGAGGGGAAAGAGCCAGGGAGGAGGGGAAAAGAGCGAGAAGGGAAGAAACCAGGGAGAGGGGAAAGAGCCAGGGAGGAGGGGAAAGAGCCAAGGAGGAAGGGAAAGAACCAGGGAGGGAGGGGAGAGCCAAGGAGGAAGGGAAAGAGCCAGGGAGGAGGGGAAAAGAGCCAGGGAGGAAGGAAAGAGCCAGGGAGGAGGGGAAGAGCCAGGGAGGAAGGGGAAGACAGGGAGGAGGGGAAAGAGCCAGGGAGGAAGGGAAAGAGCCAGGGAGGAGGGAAAGAGCCAGGGAGGAGGGGAAAGAGCCAAGGAGGAAGGGAAAGAACCAGGAGGAGGGGAAAGAGCCAGGAGGAGGGGAAAGAGCCAAGGAGAAGGGAAAGAGCCAGGGAGGAGGGGAAAAGAGCCAAGGAGGAAGGGAAAGAACCAGGGAGGAGGGGGAAAGAGCCAGGGAGGAGGGGAAAGAGCCAAGGAGGAAGGGAAAGAACCAGGGAGGAGGGGAAAGAGCCAGAGGAGGGGAAAGAGCCAAGGAGGAAGGGAAAGAGCCAGGGAGGAGGGGAAAGAGCCAAGGAGGAAGGGAAAGAACCAGGAGGAGGGGGAAAGAGCCAGGGAGGAGGGGAAAGAGCAAGGGAGGAAGGGGAAAGAACCAGGGAGGAGGGGAAAGAGCCAGGAGGAGGGGAAAGAGCAGGGAGGAAGGGAAAGAGCCAGGGAGGAAGGGAAAGAACCAGGGAGGAGGGGAAGAGCCAGGGAGGAGGGAAAGAGCCAGGGAGGAAGGGAAAGAGCCAGGAGGAAGGGAAAGAGCCAAGGAGGAAGGGAAAGAACCAGGGGAGAGGGAAGAGCCAGGGAGGGGAAGGGAAAGACAGGGAGGAAGGGAAAGAGCCAGGGAGGAGGGAAAGAGCCAGGAGGGAGGGGAAAGAGCCAGGGAGGAGGGGAAAGAGCCAGGAGGAAGGGAAAGAGCCAGGGAGGAGGGAAAGAGCCAGGAGGAGGGGAAAGAGCCAGGGAGGAGGGAAAGAGCCAGGGGAGGAAGGAAAGAGCCAGGGAGGAAGGGGAAAGAGCCAAGGAGGAGGGAAAGAGCCAAGGAGGAGGGGAAAGAGCCAGGGAGGAGGGGAAAGAGCCAGGGAGGAGGGGAAAGAGCCAAGGAGGAAGGGAAAGAACCAGGGAGAGGGGAAAGAGCCAGGGAGAGGGGAAAGAGCCAAGGAGGAAGGGAAAGAGCCAGGGAGGAGGGGAAAAGCCAGGAGGAGGGGAAAGAGCCAGGGGAGAAGGAAAGAGCCAGGGAGGAAGGGAAAGAGCTAAGGGAGGAGGGGAGACCAGGAGGGAGGGGAAAGAGCCAGGAGGAGGGAAAGAGCTAGGGAGGAGGGAGAGCCAAGAGAGGGGAAGGAAAGGAAACAGGGAGGAGGAGGAAAGAGCCAGGAGGAGGGGAAAGAGCCAAGGAGGAAGGGAAAGAACCAGGGGAGGAGGAAAGAGCTAGGGAGGAAGGGAAAGAGCAAGGAGAGGGAACCAGGGAGGAAAGGACTGCCAGGAGGAGGGGAAAGAGCCAGGGAGGAAGGGAAAGAGCCAAGGAGGAAGGAAAGAAACAAGGAGGAAGGGAAAGAGCCAGGGAGGAAGGGAAAGAACCAGGGAGGAGGGAAAGAGCCAGGGAGGAGGGGAAAGAGCCAAGGAGGAAGGGAAAGAGCCAGGGAGGGAAAAGAGCCAGGGAGGGAGGGAAAGAGCCAAGGAGGAAGGGGAAAGAACCAGGAGGAGGGGAAAGAGCCAGGGAGGAGGGGAAAGAGCCAAGGAGGAAGGAAAGAACCAGGGAGGAAGGGAAAGAGCCAGGGAGGAGGGAAGAGCCAAGGAGGAAGGGAAAGAACCAGGAGGAGGGGAGAGCCAGGAGGAGGGAAAGAGCCAGGGAGGAAGGGAAAGAGCCAAGGAGAGGGAAAGAGCCAAGGAGGAAGGGAAAGAGCTAGGGAGAGGGAAAGAGCCAGGGAGGAAGGAAGAAGCCAGGAGGAGGGGAAAGAGCCAAGGAGGAAGGGAAGAACCAGGAGGAGGGGAAAGAGCCAGGGAGGAGGGGAAAGAGCCAGGGAGGAAGGGAAAGAACTAGGAGAAGGGAAAGAACCAGGAGGAGGGGAAAGAGCCAAGGAGGAAGGGAAAGAACCAGGGAGGAGGGAGAGCCAGGGAGGGAGGGGAAAGAGCCAAGGAGGAAGGGAAAGAACCAGGGAGGAAGGGAAAGAGCCAGGGAGGAGGGGAAAGAGCCAGGGAGGAAGGAAAGAACCAGGGAGGGAAGAGCCAGGAGGAGGGGAAAGAGCCAGGGAGGAGGGGAAAGAGCCAAGGAGGAAGGGAAAGAACCAGGAGGAGGGGAAAGAGCTAGGAGGAGGGGAAAGAGCCAAGGAGGAAGGGAAAGAGCCAGGAGGAAGGGAAAGAACCAGGAGGAGGGGAAGAGCCAAGGAGGAAGGGAAAGAACCAGGAGGAGGGGAAAGAGCCAGGGAGGAGGGAAAGAGCCAGGAGGAAGGGAAAGAGCCAGGGAGGAAGGGAAAGAACCAGGAGGAGGGAAAGAGCCAAGGAGGAAGGGAAAGAACCAGGGAGGAGGGAAAGAGCCAGGGAGGAGGGAAAGAGCCAGGGAGGAAGGGAAAGAGCCAAGGAGGAGGAAGAGCCAAGGAGGAGGAAAGAGCCAGGGGGATGGAGGGGTAAGAGGAGAGAGGCCGGAAGGGAGAGGGTCAGGAGGGTGGAGGAATCAGTCAGGCCTGCAGAGACACAAGGAATAAATCGATCTTGGAAAATTGACTTTACCACCAATCTCCTGGTGTGACGTGATGGTGATTGTAATAACTCCTTCTTCTTCCCCCTCTCTCTCCCTTCCCCCTCTCTCTCACTCTTCTTCCCATCTCTCCCCCCCTCCTCCTTCCGCCTCTCCTCTTCTACCTCCTCCACCCATTCTCTCCTCCCTCCCCCC